GAGTTACTGCTTCTGTTTCTTACAAAGATTGAATTGTGCAGTATTTGCCTTTCTTAGTCTGACTTATTGTACTTAGAATAATGTTCTCGAGGTTCATCCTTAGAGCATGTGTCACAGTTTTATTCCTGTTGAAGGCCAAATAATTCCCCACTGGATGTACATAGCTTATGTACTTTTTATTCATCTCCTTCAGGCATCAGTTTGGATTCCAACTTCTGGCTATTGTGAAAGAAGTTGTTACAAACATCGGTGCGGCAACATTACCTTGAGAGCCAATTCTCAAATGACCTGGAATTGCTTTAAAATATGATAGTTCTATACATAACATGTTGAGGAGCTGCTGCATCATTTTCACTGTGGCTCACACTTTCAATTCCCCTCGGAAATGCACCAAGATTCTTCCAACTCACCAACACTCTTGTCACCCAAGCCAACACCTGGTATTTCCTCTTCTTTTATTCTTTCTTCGTTTCCTTTTAATGGTAAGTTTCCAACTGGGTGTGAAGGTCGTCCTTACTGAAGTTCTCATTTTCAGTTTTCTGGAAAAGTTGCCCATGTTCCCATGTGCTTGTTGCTCATGTGTCCACCTTCCTCAGAAGGATGTGCCTTCAACTCAAATGCCTAGTTTTGGACGATGCAGGGTGGTGAACCTAGAGCCTCACGCCTGCTGCCCCAGAGCCCTACTAGTGAGCTACACCTCACCTTTGCTTGTTTATAAAGATTGAGTACTTGCTTCTCTAGTCACTGTTGCTGTTCAGTAGGAAGTTACCTAGATACTGTTGATGTTTATGCCTATAATTTCTACAAATACTTCTCCAATCCATGGAGTGTCCTTTCTCTCTATTGAAAGTGTTGCATGGGTACTTTATTTTTTAAATTGACAAAGTATTATATCTATTTTTATACCTGAGCTTTTGATGTCTTACCTATGAGGTCTTTGCTGAGATGTATACAATAAAGATTTTATATGAAGACTGTATTTCTCTAAAGAGTTACATATATTTCATTATTACAGTCAAGGCTTTAACCCACATTCAGAAAACTGAATATATATATTTTAGAATGGTTGAAATTGAATGGTTTCATGTTAATACCAAGTTTGTCTAGCATATTTATTGAAAATGTTATACTTTTCCCATTGAATACTTTTAGCACATTTGTGGGAAATGATACAATCATTTACATGATTCTTTCTTCTGGGCTCCATGTTCTGTTCAATTGGTCCCTGTATCTTTTTGTCACTCCCTCACTCTTCACTACTGTCACTTCACAGGTGATTTTAAAATCAGAAACTCTAAGTTGTCCCATGCCGGGCACTCTAAAGGTTGCTTTCATGCTTGGGGCCCCTGGTTTGATCCCTTTCCCAGAACATGACCCGGTGCACTCAGAGTGCTGGGTTCATCTCTTCCCCAAAGCACAGGACACTTTGGGCTGTGAAGGGGTTGAGGCCCTTTATGTGGTGTGGGGTGCAGCTGCATCACAGACGGTTTCTATGGGGAAGAAGACAGCAGAGTCGGCCATGTCCGTGTCCACTAGAGAGTCACATTCATTGCTCAGGAGCCCAGACAGGCAGTCACACAGCCCTGTGTTGGCGAGACTGAGGGGCTGAGGTCCCAGTCCCAGAGATCCCTCTGCCTCTGAGGACCCTCTGACCCAATGCAGACAGAAGCCCAGGTGGGTGCCTCACTCTGCTCTGAGCAGTCCTGAGCCAGTGCTCATAGCTCCCAAGGTGGCAGCTGAGGAGCCGGAGCCAGGCAATGGTGCTGTGCAGGGGCCTGGGGCTGAGGGACTCACGCCTGCCCCACAGACCCCACACTGACTTGGCCTGGGCCCTGGTGCTCAGGGCTTAGTTCATCCTAAGGGAAGAGAGAAGGGTGTGGGACCTAATAAATAGGTGACAGTGTGTGAGAGTGTGAGTGAATGTGTATGGATGTGTGTTTGTGTTTACAGCTGTGTAAAATCTCTGTCTTCAGTCTACCTACATTGTTCACTAAATCACGTGTCCTTAAATGATCAGCATCTATGCTGAAAGTGACACTTCTCATAGATTCCCAAATTTTACTCATAGTAGCCCCAAATAAAGGACATAGACCCTGATTCAGAAGAGGGAAAAGGGAACATTTAACTTTATTTTGTATTTCCTCTCTTTAGCTGCATCTCAGACTGTAGAAGTTCCACTATCTATGCTAGGACTCAGATAAACTCTTACCTGTCTCAGACACAGCCTCAGTGCATGAGCAGAGTCTTTGATGGGAGATTTTCACTTGAGAAGGGGTTAGTGGGTGAATCAAGGGGGCACATCCACCCAAGATCCATGGATGCCACAGGGTCAAGGTCACCAAGTGTCCTCTTCGCCCTGGTGTGACACCCAATGAGGCACCAGTGGCCTCTTTACAGGACAGGTCTCAGGCACATACAGGGCATTGTGCATACTTGGAGAGTTGCAGATGGGATTCTCCATACTCCAGGGAGATCCTGCCATCTTTCCTTCTGCTGCTGTCACTGCAGTGCTGGGGATGGAATGCAGGACCTTGCACAAGTTAGGAAAGTGCTCTGCACTGTGCTGCATGCCTGCCTTCTATATTACTATTTTTATTATTTCTAAATTTTGACACAAGATCTTCTTGAGTTGCGCAAACTGGCTTAGCTCTTACAATCCTCATCCTTCAGCCACCTGTGTCTCTGGAAAGAGGCATGTGCCCCTGAGCCTGGCCATCATTTGCTGTCAATATTATACTTTCTGTTCACAGTAGATGAGTTTATTTATGTGATTACAGCCAAGATCCACAGTGATTCTGTTCCTGATTCCATTTTGATTCAGTTGTAACTTGGTAGGAGACAGAGATGCTCTGTGCAGTATTTGGTCATTAACCATATTCAGTAAATGTCTTGTTTTCCCTGCAAATGAGTTAATTCTGAGATGTGAGGGAAACGTTTCAACACCAGGCAGCTGATTTCTTCCTAAAGGTGCTACTCCATCCTCACATATTTCCCATTGACGATATTGTCCGCATCAGCTGTGTTTCCAGGCGCATCCAATGTTTTGACTGACTTGAGTCACAGTAAAGAGCAGTTGTGTGGGGCCACATACAAGATGGAATGTGTGCAGTATATAAGTAATGAGATTCCCCTTATTATATTTTAACTTATTATTGTATCATTTACAAAATAATACAAGTCCAGGTTTAATAGTTGAACAGCACATCTCACATGACAGCTCAGGGTCTCCGGCTGGACAGGAGATCAGCCTGTGGGGCTCCCTGGCCACGCCAAACTCAAGCTACTGATCCACTCATTTGAGAAAAGTCCATAGAGGGTCACTGTTTTGTATGAACATCATACAGACCCACAAAAGGTCTCTAACATGCTGACCTAGTCTGCGGAAGTGATTATTTGTAGGCTTCCTCAGTGGCGATACGAATAAGTAGTAAAATAACAAAACTTAGCTTAGCCTGTGCATGCAATTTGAAACATCAGTCATACTTTATCAGAGAAAATCAAAGGCTTGAGTCAGTCACAACCAATAATCCATCTTTAGAAATATATTTTAGTTTTGCCTGTTTTATGATGTAAATAAATTGAATCACTTAAAAAAGTTATATATGGCAACACAGTTTGAAAACTGCAATGACAAATTACAAATGAACTATTTGGCTCATAATCAATTAATTCAATGGATGCAATGGTTTTATACCTCGAGACAAACTGCTTGAACTTATTGATGGAAATGCTTCGGACATACACATTCAATTAGTAACCAATGTGCTCTCGCCTGATTTCTGTGCCAATGTTCCGTCGAATTCACCCCTGGCTTGAATAATTCTCTCCCTATAAACAAGGTCATATCACAATCCCCCCTCCAAAGAGAAACCAACCCTATGGTACCTTTTACT